AGAGCCACAGGGGAAGCGCGCTTCGCCCCGCGCGCGCCGCAGGAAGAAGCAGAGGAGGACCAGGAATTCGCCGACTTGAAGAAGGCGCTTCGCCTGGAGGGCGGCCAGAGGTTGGCGACGGCGGCCGAGTTGGCCGCCGCGTGCGGCGCCGCGCTGGATGCGCTGGACAAGGGCTGCCAGCGGGAGCCACAAATAGGCCGGCGGAGGTGGGGAGGAGGAAGATGCGGATGATGAGAAGAGGCGGGGGAGGATGAGAAGGAGGATTTGAAGAAAGAAAGGCGGATGCAACCTGACTGGGGCCCGCCCCCCCCTACCTCGCCCCAACATTTTCGCTTCTTTCAGGAGGTCGTTAAATGCTCGCCGCGGAGGCGTGGAGGCGCGGGGGCGCCATCGCTCGCCGCCAGCGGGCGCTCGAGAAACCATCGTAACACTCCTAGTAAGGTGCGCGCGCGGATGAGTGCGCGCGATTCCTCTTGTCCACCTAGAGGCAGCGCTCCTCGGTTGGCAGAGGAAGTTGACGACCGCGCGCCCCGGCCCCAGAGGCGGGGCGGTTGCGCCCTCCAAGACGAAAACGAGACGCCGAGCCGAACGCAATGATTGCGATGCGTTTCCTTCCCTTCGCCCGCGAGCCTCGCGGACGCAGCGGGCCCGGGCAGGAGGCGCAACCAGAGAGCCCAGGAAGAGGCCCAAAAGAGAACCCAGGAGAGGGCCCAGAAGGGGGCCCAGGAATGGGCCCAGAAGGGAACTCAGGAGGCGGCCCGCGCAAGGACTCTGGGAGGGGGCCCAGGAAGGAACCCGGGCGAGGGAACCCCGAACAAAAGAAAAACTTAGAGGGGGGGCCAGGAGGGGGCCCAGGAGAGAACCCAGGATGGGGGCCCAGGAGGGGAGACGAAAACAAGACGTCAGTCAAAAACAAAATCATTGCGACGCGTTTCGTTCTCTTCGCCCGCGAGCCTCGCGGAAGCAATGGGCCCGGGCAGGGGGCGCAATCGGAGGGCCCGGGGAGGGGCCCGGAAGAGGGCCCAGGAGAGGGTCCAGGGCGGGGCCCAGGAAGGGGCCCATGGGAAGACCAAGGATGCAACCCGAGAAGGCGCCCAGCAGGGAACCCAAGGGATGACCTAGGAGAGAACCCATCAGAGGAACCATGGAGGCCACCCAGGAGAGGATCAAGGAAAGAACTCAGGAGGGGGCGCAGGACGGGGCGCGGGATGGAACCGTAGAGGCAGCTCAGTAGAACATCCTGAAGGGAACCCAAGAGAGGATCCAACAGGATTCAGTAGAGAACCGCAGAGTGCAATAACCGACTGCCGCGCCTTGAGATCATGCGCTTGCAGTTCCGTAGCGGCGTTGGCTCATGTGGCTGAGGCCGCTGTGCTCTCTTGCGCTGTAGTGGCTTAAGCGTCTACGTAACCGCTTGCCGCGACCGTGGGCGCGCCTCGCATCTAGGTCAGGTCGCCCTCGAGGCCGTCGAGGGCAGCGAGCCCGCCTTTTATCGAGCGAGGGTGGGGCGAGCAGCTCACTGTTCCCATTCGCGCCTACGACGGCGCTCGCCCGGATCTCGCGCGCCGCGGCGCCTGCGCGCGGGAGCCGAAGCGCAAAATTCCACGCGGCAACTTGCCTTGCAAATTCGACCCAGATGTTCTGGCCCACCGCTCGCATCGCGAAGAAGGGGGGTATTTATCGGCGCCGGACTTCCGACTCTCGCCCAGAACGCGCACTATGTGATCCCGCTCGAAGGTGGCGGGGCCGCTCAGAGACAGCGCGTTGCCCCCGCGGTTCCACGGGGCCTCGGGCTCAACCTTGGCACCGCCGTCGCTTGCATCGGCGGTTCCAAGCGGCGCCGCCGTTTGCATTTTTTTCAAATTCTGTTGCAAGTTCCTACGTTACTTGGCGGCCCATTCCCCCGCCGATTTTGATGGTGATCATGCTGCAGGTTGGCGCGAAGATAGCGATGGCGAGATGCATCGCGGCGAGCATTCGTCGGCGCAGTTGGAACTGCATCTCAAATGCCGGCAGGGCCATTTTGATTGCGCCGAAGACACGTTCCCAAACGTCATGAAGTTGGAGCGATCTTACGGCGGCCACCGCGCATCCTTGCTGCGCGCTTTATCATCTCTCCCAGAAGTTCCCAGCATAGAGGTGCTTGGCGGTTCGTTTTCTGGCGTTGAGGAACTATGCGCATTCAGATATTGCGTTCATTCCCCCGCGGGCGAATGGGCAATCGCGCAATCGTGTTCGGATGTGAAGCAGAGATATTGAGTTGTCCTGTTGCAGGCAGAGCTGTCTGGCGGCGTCGCGGAGCAGGTCGCAGCGGCGGCGTGGCATGGAGGCGCTCGCCGACGCGAGCATCGACTACGTCGACGACGACGCTGATGGCTTCGAGCTGCGCGTCGGGCGATCGCCCCCTCGTGGCGGGCGTCAATCCCATGCGGGGCGGGGCGAGTTTTTCGGGGGGGTCTCGCGACGAGGCGCCTTCTACCCTGGCGCGCGCTGCCGCTCTGACGCCGGGCCCCGCGCCCGCGCCGACGGGCGGCCACGAGGCGGTGCAGCTTGCGCTTTACGTCAGAGCTCGGCAAGGCCACCATCCAACGGGGGAGAGGTTTGCTCGGCTCGTCGAGCGACTCCAGCGCGAGCATGGCGAGGCCGATGTTGTGTATCTGCGGGATCTCCTCCTGCTGCGCCCGCAGCCGTCCGTCGTGATCCAGAGCACTCCCCCGTGGTCATCGGATGAAGAATCGCTCGCGTCGAGGCCGCCTTCCCCGCTTTTTCGACGTCGCGGCGCTGGGCGCCATCTGCAGCGCCGCGGCGTGGCGGGCGCGGTCGCTGCAGCCCTGGGTCGGCGCGTGAAAATGCTCGCGGCGCCGCTGCCTTTCGCAGGGCCGCCGCCCTCTGATTGCGGCGCGACGTCGCCCAGGTCTGCCGACGGAGACCGCTTTCCAGGTCCTGGCATTGCATTTGCAGTGGGGGTGCACGATGTTTTCGCTGAGCGCGCGCCATCGCCTGTTGGTGGCCTCGTTGGCGGCCTGCGCGTCGACTCGCGGGGGTCCAGCGCCGCGCTTGAGCAAATGGCAAAGATGCTGCGACGCCGAGCCTGCGTCGGCGGATATCTTCCCGGCGGGGCGCAGCAGCCCGGCGACGACCGCCCGCCGGGCGCAGCCGAGATCGACGGCGAGCTCCCCCCCAGGCAGCATTCCAGAGTTCTGGGCGAGCGCATCATGGGCGCGCCCGCGCCAGACAGCCGGTCATACTTGGAAGACCTGGTCGGCGACGCGGACCCCAACAAGCGCCCCCTGAAAGCCCTCGAGCCCGATGAATTCCAGCGAGTTCTCCGCAGGCGCCGCGAGTTCAAGTTTGACCGCGCAGTGGAGAGCGAACCCGAGAGCATGATCAGCATCGTCGACAGGGTCCGCACCAGGGCTGCCGAGCTCATCCGACAGTGGCCAGTGCAGCCTGTCGAGCGTGGAATGGGCGCCCTCAGCGTCGTCGCTCTTTATGCAAGGGAAGATCGCCCGTGGACCACCCAGGACGACGTGGTGCCGACGCTCATGGCGGGTTTTCTTTTCGACAGAAACCTCCGTGCCCACGACGACGCAGTTGTCATGCGCAAGCAGGGGCTCTGCGGATGATCGAGGAATTCAGCGCGGCGGACATGCGCAGGCTCGAGCGCGCCTTGTTGTTGGCGGCGGCGATGCTCAGGGAAATCACGACTGGCGTCGCGCGCATGGACGTGGCGGTCGTTTTCGACGCGATGAAGCATCTCGCAAGGAGGACCTCGACTCCGCAGCCCAGTGCGTCGATTGACACGAAGGAGTTGCGCCGTCGAGGACCGGCTGAATTTCCTGCGCGGGCCATGGATGCCTTCAGAGGCATGTCGGTTGTGGCCGCTCGATTCGTCGGGAAGACGCCCTCTGGTTCGCTAGTCGAAGCAGTTGGCCACTGGTTTCAGGAGCCCCGCCCTGAACAGCCAAGCGCGGCGGTCGTCTTCGAAGACGCCTGTGTCAAGATCGACGCAGACAACGATGCCGAGCGAATGAAAGAACGTAGCGGAGTCGATCGAGAACAACTCATACTTCTACATCCCGTGCAGCATTGTAGACCGGGCCCCTGGTTGGGCGGTGGGCGAGCTCCGTCTCTTCATGAACACTGGGTTTGCGGGAGCGGCGGCTGGTTGGAAGATGGAACTTTCCCTGGAAGCGCCGCTTTTCATGAACCAGGTGATGCTGCCAGTTATCGTCTTGGATTGCGCAGACGGGGGGAACTCGAAGTCTGCGCGGCCGCTGCTGAGAGACAACGCGTGGCGAGGGCACCATCAAGTCATCTCCCCGCGGTGCTTCAAAAGCCTGATGAGTTCCGGAAGCAGGGGGGGCAGTTCGCGTCAGCGAGGCTCATCACCATTTAGGAGTGCGCCCCTGGAGATCCGCCGGTTGAGGAAGTGACGAAAAGGTTCATATCATGAGAATTCCTGATGTGCCGCCCGTTGTTCGGCGCGGCCACGGCGTGCTACCGTTGGAATCGCACGGCGCGCTTCTGGGAATGGAAGTGGGGCTCCCCCGGCATATTTGGTAGCCCAGAGGACGCGCGCAAACTGCTTGCTTTCTAGAGTCGCGAAGCTCCACGCGACGTTCGCCAGCGACCCTGCGAAGGTTGGCATTGACGAGCGCATCTTTAAGGAAGACACCAAACTGGCGGAATTTCTCGAGAGCCCCTTCGCCTGGCGAGCCTACGTCGAGACTTGCGCCGCCCCGTGGATACTGAAGAATTCCGCGGCAGAGCGCAGGGGCATGGTCGTGATGCCGCCGCGGGAAATCATTGGCGAAAGCCAGCGCGTCGTAGCCGCCGTGGCGAGCGGCGGCCTCCAGGTCCTGGACGACTTCCGCACGGTGGAGGAGGATTCGGCTGCGATGGGGGCGGCGGGGAAGACCTGCCGCGCCGCCCACGCCGATCAGGCCGAACGCGCCCTCATCAGGACGCACCACGTGCGCGAGATCAGATGCATTCCCGGGAGGCGCAGAGGAGGGGCCCAGGGCGATCCTGCCCGCTTGCAGGTGTTCGCCGAAGCTGTTGCGACATGTCCGCATCTTTTCTGTTTGCGCGATGGCCGAGGCGGCGGCTTCGAACGCCGTGGCGTCGACTTGGCTAAGATGGAGGAAGTCGTGGGAAATTTTGGCGGAGTCGATGCATTCGGGGGCGGCTTCG